TGTATTATTTGCCTGCCACTTTTCTCTGACACATCCTGAACTTCAGGCTGCTAAATGAACTGGATTCAGGAGTGACAGTGCATTGTAGATCGTGGTGTTTAAGCCATGGATGGAAGCTCAGCCCCTGATGTCTGCATATGTCACTCCCTGACATCACTGCTCCAAAGGATACACCCCTGTTTGAATTCCCACAGCACCTCCTTTGAAACCTCTGATTATAGCTCAGCCCTACACTATGGAGAGGGCCAGGTTGGGATGTGTCCCAGGGACTACAGGGAGGCCAAAACACAGGGCTGCCACTTGCTGACCCATTCCCCCATTGCCATCCATCTCTCCTCCCACCCAGCCCCTCCATGGCCACTTGTCCCAGTTCTGCAGCCCTCCTGGTTTATTCATAACCAGTCACAGAGGGCACAGACACCTCTGATGGGCTTTGATTGCTGTCCTTAGCTCCACATGCATTCATGAGGAATAAGTCATCTGAGCTTCTCCTTCCTCACCTCCCAGTTTGCATTGCCAGGCATGAAACACCATCATCAACCTCCTCAGATATTCAGTACCAGATAAGAACAAATTCTGTCTGCAGGGACACTTACCAGAGCTGCTTAATTGCACAGAGAACTACAATCCTCATTCAAGACATACAGCCAGGCACACATCATCAGTGCTCTGCCTCAGTGCTCTTTGGGTCTGCACAGACTGGACAGTTTTAACTCAAGTCATCCTGAAGATGCACTTTGAAACTTGAATGAGCTTTTTTTGCCATCCTATTTCAATATAGAGAGAGGTTTTTTCCTGTCATAAATGCAGAAGTCAATCTCCAAAAGCAGTCCAGCAACGTGACAGTTGCACAAGTCCACAGAATCTGTGTCTTCCAAGGCTTGGAAGTCAGGTTGATGGCAAAAGCCAGTTCCACACCCAGTTACAGATGTCTGGGCTGTGAGTGGAAGATGTTGGGTGCAGTCTTTGCACTGGTGCTGCTGAGGTCATGTTAAGACTTCCCTCCAGCTGAATCTGTTGCAGAAGGAGTGACTGGTTGGTCAAAGGAACAATTTGAATTATAGCATCTGGATGCAGCTGCAGGGCTGCCACCTCATGTCCACAGTGGAGAAAGTCAGGCAGAAAGACAGAGGAACAGGAAACTGCATTAAAAAGTCTGAACTCTGGGTAAAGTCCAAGTGCTTTCTTATCTCTTCATTGTCCACTTCTGACTGCATCAGTGTTCCAGGAGTTTGCCTGAAAAATCTGCTGTTTAGGTTCCTCTGAGAGCCATCCTTAATAATTTTTATCCTGAACTCCAGGTTAGACCAGTGGGGAGATGTTACCAGATGAAACTGGAGGAAAAAAAATTCTTCATCCAAATGTCACAGATTCCAAAGTGGTTTTGCTTCATTTTTCACAAGGGATGAGGGGATATTCCTCATCTCAGAGCAAAATTCACCATCTTACCAACCACTCTTATCCATCACTGAAACTGTAACCAAGAGCTGAAGTGCAGTGATGCTGTCTGTGCATGTGCTCTGTCATCTTCTGGTTCCTCCATAGACAATTTTTTTGGCTGGAATTTTGGTAGGGAAAAGAATTTTAATATATAAGTTGAGAGAAAAGGTAAAGAAACATGAAGGTGGAAGTAAAGAAATAATGTATTTTAATAAATTAAATATTAACAAAAATAGCTATTTTTAACAATATGTGCACAGAAAATGTCAGAGCTTGCACCTACAGAGATCATAGAATCACAGAAGGGCTTTGGGTAGAGGGGATCTTCAAAGATCACCTCAGACAACACTGCCTGCCATGGTAGGGACACCTTCCACTAGACCAGGTGCTGAAAGCCCCATCCAGCCTGGCCTTGAATACTTCAGGGGATGGAGCAAATGTCAGAGGAGTCCCAAGGTGCCTTTTGTTTTCACTGCCAGGCCATCAGGACATTTGCACGTCCTTGAGGGTAGGCTGACAGTCTTGTTATGAGTGCAGCAGCCAGAGGAGAAAATCAGAGCTCCCTGAGGTTACATTCCTTCCCCTGTTTGCTCCTCCAAGCTTTCCTGCAATCTGGAACCAAACCACAAAGAGAGTGCTGATGTTCTTTTGAAACAGCCTCCTCATTTAGAAATGCTGATGCACTTTGGATTTGGCAAGAAAACCTTTTTTTTCCTGCAGGTGGTGAACAGACTTGGCTGATCTCAATCCAGGTGTTCAGCTGAAATCAGTACCCATTTTAACTGCACTAAGCAGCTCACTAGCTGAGGTATGCATTTCCAAAAAAGCATGTGATGGGTTACTCAGGACAGCTGCCCTTGGCACATCATACTACAGCAGGGCTGATGGCCAGCCCATAGCAGGAGATAGCATTGACATGTCCCCATCCCTGCCCCATCCCTGCCCCATCCCTGCCCCATCCCTGCCCAATCCCTGCCACATCCCTGCCCCATCCCTGCCCCATCACTGTCTGGGCAGCAGGTCTCCAAACCCACTTCCCCTGGGTTGCTGCATTGGGAAAGGAACAACTTCCATGTGAATCAGCTGCTGACCAGGACTAACTCCCTGAGCTGCTCCATCCTGAGCAACTGCTAGCTTGCTATCTGACACTGCCTGCAGACTTCATCCTGGAATGAGCAGCCCTTCAAGAGGAAGGCAACCCCTAAGCAGGGCTGCAGGAAACAGGGTGCAGGACTCCATAATGAAACACGTCACCATATGCTCGCTGTGGTAACTAAAGGAAGGGAAAAAGAAATCCCAGTAACTCTTTATAAAGATACACATGAGGAAATGACTGCCCTTTTAACCCCCCCTTTTTATGAAGTTTTCCAAAGTAATATGAAAGTTAAAATGTAAACCTGTTGCATTGATGTCAATACAGAAAAAGCAAGATCAGTGCCATGCATAACTGAGTACACTGTGTCCCATTCCCAAGGACACAGCTGCTCAGTCAAGGGATATCTTTTGTAAAAAAGATCCCACAGCAAGAGGAAAAATGACTATGTAAACTAAGATCTTGTGAGAATACAGCTTCTGAAGCTCTGAGTTATTAATATTAAACCAATTTGAATGACAAACTTATACCTACAAGAGTTCCTTAGTTGACATAGGTTTAGGTTTGTGAAATGTAAATGGTTTCTTTAAATAAGTAAATAAATAAATCTGCGGATCCACATTTTTGTGCTGGGTTCTGTGAAGTCCTGTGCTGACATCAAGTGGTGACATATTTTTCATGCCAAAGGGAGCCAGACTGGCTGTGTTGTGTTTGCATGGGATGATTTTCATTGTCACAAGAAGGTAAAGGCAAGTGGTCCCAGGCCACTGGGGGACTACAGCAGCAGCCTCTGGCAGGTGCTCCCGTGGGGATGGACAGCCAGAGGGGTGTGGAAAAGCAACACAGCCCCTGCAAAGCAAGGCAAGGGAGGTGAGGTGAGCCTCCACAGTGGTAGACACAGGAGGTGCTGTCTGACACCCCCCAAATGTGACCACTGGCAGCAGCTCCCCCTTTGCTAGCCAACAAAGCTCTGGCTGGGAGAGGTACAGTGGGGCTTGGTGGCCTCAGGGGATTGGGGAGAGCATGGAGAGGTCATTTACTGAGGAAAGATGGACACACAATTAACCAGAGGATGGGAGGCTGTCTTAATTAGTTCTGCAGAAATACCAAGGAGGGCAAAACAAATACACAAGGTCATGCACTGGCTGTGAATAAAATTAAGCTTGGTATTAGAAGAGTTTTAACACCAAGTGAACTTCTGGAACAACAGCTTTGCAGAAACTGCAGAAAAACCCTCCCATAATGGAGTTTTAAAGGACAGGTTGATTATTTGCTGCAGGTATTTTGGCTTGTGATGTGAGCTGTAACATCAGCCTGGGCTGGTAGGGACTGGCCTTGGTGGGGGATGTGGTTTGTTTCCCTCATTGGCCTCAATACTCACTGAAGCTTGTTTTCAAAGGTGCAGTTGATGGGAAGTGCAGTTTTATTTGTGGATTTATCCATGGATGTTCAGGTCAATCATACTTTGTTAAAAGAACTGCATACTCAAATAATAGCTGGGGATTTATGATATGAAAACATAGAATGGTCTTGGTTCATAACTGCATAACCCCATAACATAACATGAAGTAAAAATCCACTCTTCCTCTCACTGGTTGTTGCTCTGAGTGTAGAAACAGTTCCTGCTCTTCCCAGGAGCCAGCCTATTCTGGGAGCCCTGCAGCAACACTGCCATTGCATGCCAATGGGTTTATCCTTCCTCTTGCCTAGGGCTGGGAAGCAGGGTCACCCTGTCCACAGGATGCATATCTCAGCTGCCCAGGGAGTGTTTCTGTCCTCTCCAAACCTACATCTCCTTTCACAGCCCCCATCTGGCTGTGCATCTCTGGGTGACTGGAATCCTGGTATCAGGAAAAGTTTTCCATGCTCTCCTTCATGGCTGGGCACTCCAAACCAAAGAGTGGAAAAGAAAAATGCCATATCCATTCAGATGCATCCCTAGGGGGAGAAAATTATGTTTGTGGGCTTGGCTGCTCCAAAGCTGGTGGGATTTGCCCGTTGCAGCTAAGCCCTGGTAAATGTTTTGTGGGCACAATGTACTAAAGGGCCCCATCATGTAATTGGTCCCTGAGGTCATTGCCCAGCCTGTGCTTTGGTATGGTGCAAAGAAACGTTTGTGCTGTTCTTCCCCACCCACACTGTGTTACAGTGAGTGCTGGGGCATGGGAGGAACACCCAAATCCCAGAGCAGCTCTCAGTGGCACTGGCAAAGGGCCCCACAGTGGGCCAGGGCACAGAGGGAAGGGCACTGCTGTGCTACTGAGCTGGGCAGTGATTTCTTTGGTTTGCTTTGGGTCTGTTTTTTGGGTTTTTTTTCCCATGTGTTGACATTGCAGCCGTGATTTGCCCTTAGAGGTTTTGTTTTCTCATGAGCAGGTGGACTTTAAACTTCACCATCTCTGCTGCAGCCATTTCCCACAGGAGCTGCAGGAATGCAGGCAGGCACCGCTAGGCTCAGAGGGTAACCATGGCAAGGTGCTCTTGGATAATATTCTTCCTTCTCTCTGCCCTTTTCCTTCAGACAGAGCAGGCAGGTATGGCTTTTGTTTTGTTGCTCCTTTGGTTCTGATTTGTGCTGCTGCTTTTCTAAAAGCACCAGTAATTTTGTACCTTGTATAATGTTTACTTTGTAGCACAGAGTGAAATCAATGAAAACAGTCTGTTCCTAATTTTCTTTAAATTTCTGCTATTTATTTCGTGCAGCTAAGTGAAAACTGATGTAAGCTAATGGGGCAATGCAGTTTTGAAGTACCATCATTTATGCCAGGGTAATACCCTGGAGTGTCCCAGATATTAAAGTGAATTTTGTTTCATATTTCTAGTTGCTGCTGAAATAAAAATGAGACAGTCCTATGGAAGAGGCCAGTATGCATGCTTGTTATAGTTTGAAGAAGTTTATGTGTCTGTATTAATCCTCCATGGTTTGTCAAAAATAAGGAGTAGCCAGGAAGAAGGAAGAAAAAGATGGTGTTCATTCAGGAAAGACAAAACACCCTGCAGCAGAAGTTCACAGCCAGCTGTGCTGGATGTGGCAGAACCACTGCACAGCAGAAATATCTGCTGGGGGTCAGATAATATTTAAAATGCAGAACAGAGTCATGAAGCTTTTCTTTTTTTAATATCATGTGCAAGACAGTTGCTTATGGGATATCCTTCAAAAGGATAACTAAATATCTGTACACAGTGTTGGAATAATTTTGCTATTGCTCTCACTTTTCCCAGTTCTATGATTATGGATTACTTCAACCAGAAGTGTTGGGTCCCCAAACACTGTATAAAAGAGAAAAAAACCCTGAATATTCCCTGCCCCAACACATTTGCTTTCCAAGCACAGAAGAACTGACAAACACGTGCTGACACACATGGTCACACATTGCTTCATGAAGAAGATGAGGCTCCAGGGTGGCAGCAGCTGCCCAGCTGGCAGGCAGCTTTTGATGGAGGTGTCATTTGCAAAGAGGAGTTTTAAGATCTGTTAACTGGTCTCTCCTCCTCTTTACTCAAATCTGAAAGATCACAGTGTCTTCCACATGAACATGGTATGGGATATAGCCCTCTTAGCTATGAGCATTGCTGAGGGGTAGTTTTTATTTACTCCCCTTAAGAGAGAGTTGATTGAGAACTCAGCCATGTCATGGCTTTGCTTCTCAGCAAAAAAAAAATTGTCATGAACTAAGACTGAAGAGCATCAGTTTGGATCCACCATCATAATTTAACACCACTAATACCCACTTCTACCAATGCACCTGAAACCCCTGTGCAGTCACAAAATAGCCTTTGCCTTTTATAATAATGTTTTTCCCTTTTCCCTGGCTGTGTCACCACACCCTGTTCCGTATGTCTTGTGCAGGAATGGTTTCAAATTCCCCCTGCTTGGGAGCAAGTCAGGCATCCCCCAGAAGTAAAAACTCTCAACTCATCAGCTGAATTTGGGCTAAGACAGTAGAGCTCTTTAATTATGTAAGTTTAATATGGCTGAAACCCCAAATCAACCAAAAGAAGGTAGAAGTATATAAGGAAATATACTTCTACAAAAGAAGGTAGAAGTATATAAGGAAATAATTCTAAGTACTTATATTAGTGTTTTGTCATACAATGTTCCAGTATTTATATCAGCTCATGATGCAAACAGTGTTATCAAGAGACAGAGACGTGCCAGTTCCATCCTTCTGGAGGAGGTCCTTCAAGGCAGCTTGGAAAGAGAATGCCTAGAAGAGAGATGTACACATGAAGAAGCAAGAGAAGTATTTGAGAATGATGAAGTGCTTGTAAGTATTTTGTTTCCCTGCATGCACAATAAAAACTGCTGCCACGATCCTTTGCTTGTGAAACACAAGACTGCTCCATTTGTTTGGGTTTCTTTCCATGTGAAACCTCTGCATTTGCCATCTCAGCAGGTAGCAAGCAGGTGTCTTCCATGGTCAAAATGGCAATGAGGAGGTCAGCTCTGATATTGTCCAAGTCCTCTCCAGAAAATGATGTGTCATGTTCCTTGTATTAGTACATCACGTGGCTGCTGTCCCATCCTGACCACACACAGAAATGCAGCTTCAGCTTCCCTTAGGGACCAGGAGGGGCAAAGGGGTGTTGGCCAGCAGAAGAGCACCTGGAGGGCAGCACAAAGGAATTCCAGCCACTCCAGACAGTAAACTGGGTTCATCAGGGCCCAACTCAAATGCTTTTATGCAAATGCATGCAGCATGGGGAATAAATGATAGGAGTTAGTTTGTTCCAGGGGCACTGGAAAAGGTTGTCCAGAGAAGCTGTGGATATCCCATCCCTGGAAGAGTTCAAGGCCAGGCTGGATGGTCCTTTGAGCAGCCTGGTCTAGTGGAAGGTGTCCCTGCCCACAGCAGGAGATTGGAACTAGATGATTTTTAAGGTCCCTTCCAACCCAAATAATTCTGTGATTTTACGACCGGGACAGAGGGAATCAATACACAGCAAGCAGTGGGACCTATAGAGAGGAGCTCACCTGGTGGGTAGCTGCAAATTCTTTTGCACCAGGGGCTCTCCAGACATACAGAGATGGATGCTGTGCCCTTTAATGGGAACCTGGATGGAGTTTGGTTTGCAGGGAAAGCAGAGCAAAGAGCTGTAGGGCTGCCCATGGGCAGCCGTGGTGCTTTGGGAAAGGGAGGGGTGGGCAGAGGTGTGGCTTTGGGGGTCAGCTGTAGAACCCAGGGAGAGGCAGGGCACAGGGGGGAGGTGGCCAGCAGTGGTGCCCACAGCTCTGCCCTGTGCTGACCCCTCTGCCTCCAGCAGCACCTGCCGGGGGCCAAGGGGATGGGACAGGATGGGGTCACTTCCCAGGCTGCAGACAATAGCCAGCCAGTTTTTTCAGGGAGCTGCATTGCTAAAGGATCCAGCTGTTCCTCTCTCTGGCCTGTGAAGTGTTTATTTTCCTGTACAGCTTCTTAGGAAACAATAAAGTAAGCAGGAGGCAAAGCCCCTCCCTTCTCATGTGTATATTTGCTAGCAGCACATTATAGTTGTGCAACTCTGTAAACATTAAACCGCTGTATATATTCTCTCATAACATGTTTTTTGGTTTAGCAAAATATTTATGACAGATTACATTACTTGGGAATTAAAATCTAATTTCCTTTTTTTTTTCACCCAGAAAATCTTTTGGGATGTCTACTATGGTAAGCTGGCCTCTTGATTTCTCTCCTTCACAGTACTGGCACATTGTGAACATTATGATTCAGTCTAATACTGGTTTTCTAAGAGTTTATTCTATGAGAAACAGTCAGTCTCTATTTGTCATGTCTGTAGTAAAGCAGAAGGAAAATTCTTGATGTGAAATGATTTTTAAAAAGTAATATACAGGAAAAACCATTTAAATCTGCAGAAACAATAAAAGTAGAAGATGAGTAAAAGTTATCATAGCAAATAGGTTACTTCTTTTCCTGAATCTGAAACAGCCTGGACATGAGAAAATATGTTTTGCTGATACAATAGAGCAGCATGGTTCTATCAGAAAAATCTCCCAAATACAGAATTAACACTCAAACCTGGGCAAGATAAATAGATATTAAAAGCTACTGAGTTGTCTACAAACTCTGCACAGTGGGATTGCATCATTCCCTGTCAGGTGCCAAGGTGAGAAACAAATCTGTAGAAGCTGAGGAGGGTCTGATGTAACTAAGTGCCACCTGAACAGGAAGCCTGTGGCACCAGCTCATGGTGACTCTGCCCTATTCCTTCTCTTTTTTCTGTATGCTTCATCCCAAGTTTTTCTCTTGTTTTTAACTTAGCTATTATTAATTTCTAGTCTTAGGTTTAAAGAGTGGAAAAGGAGGTGGCAAATCCAGCAGTCAGTAATACTTTTCTGCACAAGCTGCTAAATTCCTGAGTCCTGGGAACCATTGCATAGAAGAATCCTATCAGTGCTATAAAGGTTATGAAGAATGAAGCTAAATATCTGGCATTTTATTCCTTTTGTGAGGGTGGGATTAGTTTCTAATTTGAGTCATTGGATATTTGTACTAAGCATGTCATGCAGGCTTCCTCTCTAGCCTAGGATGAGAGAAGGGAAACCAGTTCAGAATGGTCCCTCCAAACAAGCTTGGCCACAATCAGGACACATTACTGACTTCAGCCTCAGGGGTGGCTTTCTTGCTGTAATTAAAAGCAATATGTTCTGTCTCCTTCCTAAAGAACAGCAGTGTGTATTTCCTACTTTGTGATGTCCTCTCTAACATTTTGGAGAGTGCTGCATTTGAAAAGTGGCTTTTTCCTCCTCACTAAACAAACATATTTTTTCATCCTGTCTTCCAATAATCTCATTTTTCTAGACCTCTGGTATCTGTGTTGCTTTCCCCTGAAAGTCCAGGGTGCAGTGGATAAATCTGCATTGTGAATAAAAGAGGAAGCATTTATTTATGTATTTTTATTTATTTATTTATTTATTTATTTATTTATTTATTATAAAGGCTGAGCACCCACCTAACTGCTGGGTCACCCACCAGCTCTGTTCTGCACTGTTTTGTCCCTTCAAGTCAAAACTGATGTAGTGGCATCTTGCTGGGTGTCTGCTGTCAGGGCACTTTGCCTGAGCTCACACTTGTCCCTGACCCTCTTTTATGAACAGTACTTGGTCATTGCCAATCTCTCTTTAAACATCACTTCCCAAAAGTTTTGTGCAAGCCTTACAGCAGTTTGCTCGTTGAGTGACAATGTCTTTGGAGACATTTCTTTTCTATCATGTTCACTGATTGCCCCTAGGTCCCTTATCTTATAATATGATTAGATTTAAATGGTTTGAATTATTTGATCTTGAAAAATGTATGATGGTTTTTACTTCCCACCTTTTTAGATTGCTGTGTGCTTACAGTTTAACCATAGCTTGCCAGTAACAGAAATCAGGCCAATATCTCTATACTTCTTTGAATCTTCTCTTTCCTCCTTTATTAAAGCTAGGTGCTGGATTTATTTTCTTTCCAGCATGGATTTCAGAGGCTTGAATCCATCTAACTGCTTCAGGCTGCAGGGGTAACCCCTCCCTAGCTCCAGCTCCTCAATTCTGCCTGCTCAGCTGTGCAGGTGAGATTCCCCCAGTTCACCCAAAAACCCTCTCTGGAGGCCTACATTGTGCTTGGATATGCTGGTGGCATCTGGCTGCAGATGGAACTCTTTCAGCCAGTATTTTAGTACATCTAACACTCAAAGACATAGTGCCCTTAGCCTAAGCAGATGATGATTGGTGGGGTTTTTCCCAGTAGCTGATAGATTTTCACTTTTCCAAACCCAAAATCATATGGGGCAGCTCACTGACTGAATTAACCTCTCTGACAAGGTGTTAATTTTTAGAAAGGTTGGACAGCATGTCCCAGGTTAGGCTCTCCTGGCTTGCTCACTGATAGCCTATGTCTATAATAAGTAGTTGTTACTTGGATCGTGTTTTCAAACTGCTTAGGAGTCATTCCTGTGGGCAGCTTGAAGGGAAACTGGCATCTCTACCTGGTACTTCAGTCTCAGTGAGGACACCCTCCTGTTTCAATGTTCAGTTCAGCAGAAAGAGCAAGCTTGCTAGTGTCTGAGCTGCTGCAGGATAATTGTGCAGATGTAGAAAAGTTATATTTCCTCCTATTTTGATGTTGCTTGCTGTACACTTGCTCTATAATTTTGATGCTTTTTCTATCCAGTATATATCAGTCTTAACGTGGGAGACCTGAAACACCAGTCCTATATCACATTTGTAAAAAAGCAGGAACTGTGACTCACAGCATCTACCCTCCAGAAGGAGGCTGTGCCTCTGGGCAGCTCCCAGCCTCTCTCCCAGGGGCTACAAGAGCACCTCTGGCAGCAGATTTGAGCTAAAATTACCCCTGAGGAGCACTTCAGTGGCACTTAGCCCATTTCCTTTCAAGCTGCTCTCACAACACTTCTCTGAACAGCTCATGTGCTTGGATGTGGGCTGTGTAATTTGAGATCTGTGCTGGCGGTGACTCCTCCCTCTCCATTTCTCCAGGTGGCAGGAGGTGCTCCTCAAGCCCCTGCCAGCACAATGGTGTGTGTGAGGACAGCATCCGTGGCTACACCTGCACCTGTGCTGAGGGCTACGAGGGAGAGAACTGTGCTTTTGGTAAGGCTTGCCCCCTTCTGAGGAGCCCCAGCTCATCTTGTCACAGGCTGTCCCCATGAAACCATACCCAGCTCTCCCATGGTGCCCAACACTTACCCATGTGCTGGGTAAAACACACAGTTCTGGTAGAGCAGGGTGATGTGTGCTGCCTGCCTGCAAAACATTGCGGAATCCTGAGGTTCCAGAGGCCGTCCCAGTGCCCTGAGCCTCCTTTCTCTGGGCATGCTGCAAAAGGGCTGAAACCAAACCACCTCCTGGGTACCCCCAAAGCCAGCCCTGCCACTGCCACCTGTGCTGCCTAGCTGCTTGTCCTGCTGTGGTCCCAGGCCTGAAGGACCAAGGCTGCAGTGCCAGGGTGGCTTCCCAGGCACCCTGGTGCCTCAGAGGCCACATACCCCCACAAGACAGTCCCTGAGGTTAGAAGGACTCCAGAAAACAAACTGTTTCCAGTGCAAGTGAAAAGCATAAAGTAAAACACATGTGTTCTGGCACAGGAAAACCCCAGGCCAGATACTACATTTTTATATCTGCCAGGTTCTACTTTCCAGCCCTGACATCAGGATTTCTGCTGGTTCAGAGGTCCCCTGGGGTGGGAGACGCCCTGGCTGCAGCAAGGCAGGGTTGTTCTGTGCAAAAGGGGTGTGACTGTGACCAGCTTCTGGGGAGCACAGAAGGTGACACAGCTTGGACCAGTGCTGGGAACTAGATCATCTCAGAGCCTTAGGCAGCCATGTTATACAAGATTTTTTGCTACCTATGAGCTAGATCAAATAACAGTTGCTTTGTGCTAAAGATTTAAGTGATTGCTTTGCTATGGAAAGTTGAGCATGTTTTGAAGTTCATACTCCCTTTTTTTTTTATCTTTGGTAGCTGATGTGTGCAAAATCAAACAAGTGTGCAAAATGAGAGCTACAGATTTTTGTCAAAACCAGATACCTTAGCTGCCTTCTTCCTCAAGCAATACTTGTCTTCATACCATGCAGCAGCTCCCCTTGCTGCACCTACTTGGTGTTTTGTTTAAAAACCCATGGCACCCTTTCCCAGAACTCAGAGGTGCAGTGTCTGCTGCAGGGAGGTGCAGAGGGAGCACAGTTTGCAATGAGTCTGTGAATGCTGCAGAGACTCAGCTTGCTCCAAGTTCTGCTTAACAAGGGGAAAAAAAATCCCAGTGGTAAATACTATCAACCCACATCCACACAAAGGGAATAAAAAAACCCATAGAGGACTCAAGTGATGAAAGAATACTTCACGTTTTTCTTCTGCTTGTTCTGTTTAGCTAAAAATGAATGTCACCACCAAGCAAAGGTAGGATGTGACCACTTCTGCTATCCAGGAAGGGATTCCTACCGCTGTTCCTGTGCTGATGGCTACGAGCTGGGGAAGGATAAAAAACAGTGCATTGCATTAGGTAGGTGTGAGCATGGAGGTAAAGGGGGCACCTGCTCAGGGCTGGGTGGGCAGGCCACTATCTAACAGATGGGATCAGCCTGCTTTGAGCCTAAAGCAGTATTGCTGGGTAGAAAAAGGAATCTAGGGACCACCACCCAAGATGCCAAAGCAATGGTAAAAGAAGGGCTATTTAATCAGAATGTTTAAGTATGAATCAGCAGAGGGGACTTGCACCACCCTACGTATCACTCACTGGACCAGGTTTTCCACTCCTGTGTTTGGTAAAGAGTAATTCTGCAGAACACGTGTTCGCTTGGGAATGAAATTCAATTGATTCCTATCAGGTGACCAATGGTCTAATAAATGAAGGGAAACATTTGCTGCCAATTTAATTAGCTTGAAACAGTAGCCCTTTTTAGTTCTTCAGTCCCATATTAGGTATCTCATTCAGTTTCATCCCCTTACAAAGTAGGTCTACTAAAACCACAGCAGTATATTTAGACCTGTGTCTGTATTAGCACAAGTGGGGCAGCCAAATAGGAGTTCAGCTGTAGAGCCACACTTTTGGTGGTGACAGACTGATGTCCACACTCAGAGCACACTTCAGGTGGGCTTTACATCAACCTGGCCCAGTTCAGTCCTGTGGACTAAGCACCAGGCAGCTGTGTGCACCTGAAAGGTGTCCTGTGGTTTAGCTTCACCTGAACAGTGTGTGTGACCCCAACCTAAACCAAGTGGAAGTGTGACAAATGTGGTGATTCAATCAAAAAGCATGTGTGTCGTTTGAACCAGATGAGAAAGGCACACACGTCCCTAGAGTGACAGCTGTAACAAGGAAAAACCAGCATTTACCTTGTCCAGGCTGGGCCACAGCTCTCAGCTATTTGACACAATGTGAATACAGGATACAAAGATGAAAAAGCAAGATGTGCTAATGGTTGGCTGGAGAGGAAGCCTCATTTCATTTGGGAAATGAAGCACAGTGAAACCTGGTCACTACAAGCCTAACATGGTGACCACGTTCAGCCCATTGCTAAACTATTATGGCTACAATTGCCAAAGAAATTATTCCAATTTTCACCAGCTGAGAAACTTTCATTCTCCTTTTCCTTTGCACAAAAGCAGAACCCCAAAGTCTAGGTGGAACAGTAGGCATTTGCAGGTATTAACTATCTTGAAATGATACTGCTATCTTGAAATGATACAGCATGAAGTTTTGATTTTTTTTAATTCATTTGTTAGATGCATGTGCATGTGGCAGACTTCAAGACAGTGATAACCTTATAAGTGAAACCAGGAAGAAAAGTGATGAACGATTTCCTTGGCAGGTATTCCTAGCAATTCATTAAACCCATCACTTTACCCTCACATGGATAGTGCTATATATTGGTTTTTTGAATTTTCTTAGGTACTGCTGCTAAACCCAGAAGGGAAAGGCTTCTGTGGAGGAGTGCTGCTAAAAAGTAACTTCGTATTGACCACAGCAGAGTGTGCCCTTCTGCACAGCCACTTTCAAATCAGGGTTGGTTCTGGTAGGTGATTCAACATTTTTTCTTGCTGCAGCACATTTCAGTATAGACAAGCTAAATTTTAAACAAGCTTACTAAACTTCTTGCTGCATAAAAATATTGTTAAAGGAAACAAATATGATGTTATTTCATTTGAGCATCTCAGTCAAGTATCTGAGCTAGAACTACAGCTACCCCACATTCCCCTTTACAAGGCAAGCAGAAAGTGTCTCTTGAGCACAGCCCAAGAACTCAGCACTCAGAGATCAGCTAAACATGGTAGATTTAGTGGTGACTTGTTTCTTGCCAAAATTCACATCAGTGCTGGAAATTCATCCTTACTGCTGAAATTATTCGTGCTCCTACCAGCAGCAAAAAGCTGCCAGTGTGTTACTCCTTGTTTCCCTTTACTGCAGAGGAAGAGTGCCTTTAGCTCCTCTGCTGCACGTGTTTCTCAGCACAACCAGGCAGCTTGCATGCAGCTTTCAGGTCTCATAAACCATTCCTAAGAGCAGTCAGATGTCATTGCTCCACAGGGCCTAATGGAACAAGTGGAACTGGGAAGATAATGCAGATTAGAGAGAAGCACATCCACATCCGCTATGATGAAGACACTGGTGAGAACAACATTGCATTGCTACAACTTCAAGAGCACGTTGAGTGTGACAGCTCCCACCTGCCTGTGTGCACCCCTGAGAGAGACTTTGCAGAACACGTTTTAATTCCAAAACTGGCTGGTACAGTCAGTGGCTGGAGAATGGAGGGTGATGAACTCCAAGGCGAAGAGCTGCAGGTTTCATACCTGCCTGCTGAGGACTGCAAGCAAATCCTCAACATCAGCCTCACAAACAGGCAGTTCTGTGGGCACCTGCAGGAGGCTGTAGACAAACACCTGGCTGGAGGAAGCTTTTTGGTTACTGAGTACAAAGGCACGTGGTTTCTGACCGGTATCCTGGGATCCTGGCCGCTGGAAGACACTGACTGGGAAACACTGCTTTTCACCAACACTGCAAGGTATATGGTATGGGTTAAACAAAAAATAAAGTAAGGCACAAACACAACCAACTCTCAAGCACCAAGCCCCTACCAATCATTGCAAGGAAACACAAGGATGCAGCCAGTACCCCCATTTGACTCTACTACTATTTGCAGCAATGGAAGCTGCAACAATGACATGTATTTAACTCCAGTTTATACAGAAAAGCCTGTTTTGTCTTTCCTTCTGCTGACACACAGGACTCTTGAGTCATGATACAGTAAACCTAGTTATTGAACTAAAGACTGATTTAATTTTAGATTTCCTAGAACTGTTCATCCTAAACCTCAAAACATGTTGAATATTTTTTCTGTGATTTCAAATGTTGCTAGTACCCTGAGATTTGATTCAGCAAATTCATATTCTTATTTCAGGATCCATATAAGTAAAACTTAAGAGACATGGGGAATGTCAAGCTTTTAAATGTCTATGTTGAGGTAGCACTTGACATTTTCATCGCACTAAAAAATGCTTCCCCTCATACATGGAATTTATGTTTTCCCTTAGGAATGATGCCCATGTCACTTAGAGGGTAAAATAAAACCCAACTGTCAAAGACAACAAAAAACAAATGTTTTATTTGTTTTAAAAATAATTTTAAAATTCCCAAACTAAAATCTCAGTCTGGACAAAGTTATATTGTACCACCCCCAAACAAACAAACTGACCCCCGGGGTAGTAGCACTTAAAATTCTGGATCCAGTGGTAGTGTTTTCCCCAGAAGCAAAATAAAACAGAGTATGGATAATTTAGATACATGAGTTTTTGTTCATCATAACAAAAATTAAACAAAATATGACCAGAACTAAAAAGAATCCCAAAGCCATCTTGTGGGCACCTACCACATATACTCAAACCCATAAGTATTACTGACACAGTAAAGCTTTTGGTGTCAAACACTTCTCTATTTTTTAGAGATAGTTTGAAGAGAGTATTTAATACCAGCAAAATTATTGAGACTTCAAAAAAATTGGAAACCATGTTAAGAAAACATTACTTCCACTCTGTAGAATGGATTAACACAAGTAACAAAGGCTGATACTTCTCTCTGAAGGATAAACACAGAAATAGTAACATGAAGTACTTTATAAAAGCTTTTAAGTAGTTGGGAAGGAATTTGGAATGCTTTGCTTTATTTCTTCATGAGATACTTTGAATGATGTAGAAAGCCTGTGGAAACAACCATTTCAAAGTCAACATTTCATTTCAATGCACTTTGTAACCCTGGCAGCCTTGGCCATTCTGGGAAAGGAGCCACGAACAGTTCCTGGTATTTCAGTCCTGGACATGAACCAGGCCATTGACAGTGTTCCTGGGGTCACTGGGAGCAGTCCCACTGGGCAAGCTGAGTATCTGAAGAGTACTTGCATGGCTAAGATGCAATATTCAACAACACACTGTTGACAGTGGAGGAAATGGGTTCTGCTTGCTGACCACAAGCTTCTGATGCTGATGGGATATGTAGCCTTTAATGTGACCCTAGCAGAAGGAGAAAAAGGCAGAGTTAGTACCTAGAGCTGGTAACACAATCCCTCCAAGCCAAGCTAACCACAGCAGAGCTGTTTATGCTCACTCACCACTGCACTACTGTACCTAAATCTGCACGAGGGTCCAGTTTAGGTAACTGGGTCACCTTGGAGAGCCAGCACAAAGCTGGAGCCACCACCCTGTCTGTGCACTAAGGGTGCTGCCAGACTGAGAGCCTCCTGCCAGGGCCCCCATGGGTCTGCTTACACTGCCTCCAAGAGACAAGAGCTCTGCAAAAGTGTTTCTAAAGTCACTCTTGTTCACTTTAAAGTGAGGATTTTAATCTATTAGCATTCGATACCTAATAAACTAAATGACATTGTACTTCCTTTTCAGACATAGTGTTGTAACAGTGAAAGAAATCTCCCAGTGACCTAGACCACATCAAATAATGTTTCAGAAACAGAGTAGTGGTTAATTTTCTTGCTGACACTACAATGATGCTTCACAACCTCTGATTTAATACAGATATTTAGATTTCAAACTTTTATCCATTCATAAGCAGTTGAGATTCACTTAGAGTAAAAGACAAAATGCAGAACAGATCCAAAACAATCTAGCTCTATTTTTTTCTAATTTGAGAAGACCAAGAGTCTCCTACTTCAAATGCAGAACAAATCTTTTTGGTGCCATCTGAAAGATTTCTATTTTTAAATCAATGTTTCTGCATTTATAGAAATGTCAGTACTGAATTTGTAATGTGAAATTCAACTTCAATTTTAACTGATTCCTGCAAAAAAAGGCAGGAACTAGAGGAAGGCCTCAGGGCAAATGAAAACATTTCACTTTCAGCAGAAGTCTCTCAAAAAAACCACAAGAAAAACTGGGATTACTGATGAGTTTTTTGTCATAAACTGTTATTCTCTATCTAATATTTTTCACTGTCAGAAGTGTGGAAGCACCAGACAACAAGTGGTCAGCACTTACCAAATATATGAGGTTAGCTAAAATACACTGGACTTCATCAATATCAACATCATCTACTTGCATGAACTTCAGAGCAATCAGAAAAGCATCTAGAGATAGCTGATGAGTTTTGAGCAGTAAATATCTGAAAGAAACAACAGGAAAAAAAGTGTTATTGAGAAATAATCACTTTAAAATTCTGTTTCTTAGAAAAATGGTCTTTCTACAATAAATTCACCTTAATAGGAAGTCAGCTCTCTCAGAGAGAAGTAAGGAGCATATACAATTCTACCCCAGTCCCAGGTGAAACCATATTAAATCTGCTTTTCCAAAAATGTAGTTTTTGTTATGCTTACACTTTCTTGAAGAGATTCCTGTATGTGATGATTTTCAGCTTCTCAAGGATAAGAAAGATTCCACATCGAATAAAGAAGGTCTCATGCTTTGTTAGAGCATCATTCAGAAGGAGAAGATTTCCTTCACTGCAAGGATAAAGAAATGAAAAAGTGAGGTCTCACACCTGTGAGAAAAGAAAGTATGAATAGGTAGGAATATGCCTCCCCTGCCTTCCTCAATCACCCCAAAGAAACACCTTTTACTTAATACTTTTTGAACACAAAGCAGAAAAGCAAGCATCATACCTCACAGACTTTGTTACTTCAGCAAACTGCATAAGGTCATACTTTTTTAAGAGCTGAACTGTTGGCATATGGCCCTGAAAAATAAATGGTGTCCAAGTTTTCCAGGGTAAAGTTAAATACATTTTAAATAGAATCTAGTAAAAAAAAATCTAGCTAAAAAAAGTTTCTTAAGAGAAAAAAAGAATTTTTAACCACTTTTTTTTTGCTACAGAATACAAGTAAATAAAAGTATTTGCAAGACAACCCCCTCATCTCTCTCAAACACCTCGTAGCACAACTCACAATAACTACTGATTTATCATGATTTTGGGACAATTAATACTTCATGTTAGGGAGCAACTATCAAACTTGTAGAATCAAGAAGATCCTGTGACATGAGACCTTGGCAGATTCAAATTTTATGTCACAGTTGTATCATTTAATCTACAAACAGAAGAACTGCAGGAATCCCAAGCATTTCCAAAGGAATATGAGCAGTGCTTCAGCCTTGTCAAGTGTTATCTCAGTCTGTAACAGATTTTTTTCTTCTCTATGCCTCCATGCAGAAATAAAAATGTCCTCTCAAAAAACAAACACCACCATCACCATGCCTCCACCCAAAAAAAATAAAAAAGGGAGAGAAAGGTTAAATTTAAAGAAACAAAATTAATTCTTGTTGTTAGATCAGGTAAGACTGAACCATCTACAGAATCAAAAAGAAACTTTGCCTTTTATCCCCTGCACAGCAAAGATCAGAATGCATATTGACTTGGTCAGACTTTAAATTTAGTTACATCATGCTATGCTGTTGCTAACTCCTTTCCTGGACGAAGGATTAGCTGAGAGCAGAACTGAGCTGCAGGTTTACTGAGAGCTGTTAGGAACAAAAAGCCAACACACAAGCTATTTTAGTAGTTTGAAGTTAGTGTTCATCTTTGGGCTCTGATTTAAAAAAAGCAACTGTAAATACAATGACCTTTATCTAGTTTCTTTAATGCCTCTTGTACACTAAAACTGCTTTAGAAAAGCCACAGTAATTCTAGGCACTAACAGACCAACCAGTTTAAGGCACCCAGTGGGACTGAGACAAATATTTAGGAAGACTGTTAACAAAGCTTTTAGGAAGACTTTTTTCCTTTATCAATCCTACCACTGATTGATCTGAAAACAAGAAAGTCAACAAATAAAACAAGGAAAACAGAAACCAATTATCACACCCACTATACTCCCCCTTTACCCACTTGACACAGCAAGGGATTGGAAAGGGAACACTGAAAGGAAAAAGCAGGGAAGTCATAAACAGGCCAGGGGGAAGGTGGAAAATGGCAACTCAATAAAGGCAGGTGATAACATTCTACATGGGTAACTTTGGGAACAGGGCCAGAACAGGAAACTCTAAAATCTAGTTCCTGTCACCTCAGTCACAATGAATTAATACTCAGCATAATCCACTAATTCAGGGATACACAAATGTTAGCACAGCAAATGGGAAAAAACAGGAACAAGAAATATGTGCTTAATTATTTTAATAGAAATATGAAATGATCAAATAGTAACAAGTCTTCACTGATTTTTCAAAACCAAAATGCTCTGCCTCATGACCCTTCTGGCATGCCTTGAATGGGAAAATGTAGGAGGTACAAATAAAAAATCCAAAGACAGGCTGCAGCTGTGGCAAACCCCTCCCAACAGTCCTCAGCCATCTGTTTGCACACCCTCCTTTCCTCCACCAGATGAAAGAAGCAGACAAATTTGTTCTACTGAATCCACACCTTCCCTGGCTTTTGTGTGCAGTTGATCAGCAGAGAGGCACCCTGCTACAAGACAGAAGTCAAACTGTTGAGTGCTTCTCCAAAGAATTCAAATATACCTTCCTTAAAGTAGTAACATCAGGTTGCACCCTTAGGAAGGGTGGGAGAAAGGTAGGGGGAAAGGAGGGCCAGGTTGGTTTTGTTTGGGGGTAGAGTTTTTTGTTTGGCTGTGTTATTTCCCCTCCTATCTCCTTTCCCATGTTGCTGTAAATGACAACTCAACACTTTTTGCCCTCACATAACAAGGTGTGCATTCGCTGGCTCTTACAGGGGTAAAATAGCCTCTGAATTCCACTAAGGGAAAACACTGAGCATCAGTTTTACAGTCTGTATGTGTACTCCCTTCCCCTTATTCAGGAAAGTAGCATCTACTCACCAACAACATTTTTACTGGCAGCAGGTAGATCAAAATCATTCTTTTGTTCTTCTGGCTTGATCGGTGACAGTGCTCAAAGGCAAATGACAGATACTCCTCAGCTGCAAGCACAAGTAACACAAATCAACACAAAAATGGATTAAAGCTGTAACCCAAATTCTGTGCTCAATGTGCATCTCTCTTGAGCATAACATTTGAAATTGTATACAAAAGAACCATGTCACTCAAAGTACATAAAGTTGCAGATTCAACAAAATACAAAGTATTACTAGAAAGGTAAGTTCTCCTTCAGAAAGTCAAAGAAAACTTGTCAGGATCTTCATGTCAGACATTACAGTTACAAGTAATATTGGATTTTTCAGCTAATTTCAGTAATATTATTGTGCTCCTATTACAGAAGCAGACAATCTAAGAACTCCTGGTAATACACTCGATTTCCTAAATTGAGATTACGTTCTTCAAGAGATGAGAGCTGAATGTAATGCCCACATCTCCTGAGCTGCAGAAATGGGCCAGTGAGACCACACAGCATAACAGCATGAAAATCTCTCAGCAGCTCCCACCAATAGAGAAAAAATGATAAGCCTGAAAGGCAGAACACAGTTTGGAATAACAGAGCCAGCTCCAGAACAGAAGTTTGTCAAGTTCATCAGTGATGAAGCTGTACCCCTTAGCTCTAGAAGCATTTCTGTTAGTGAAATCTATTAGAAATCTAGGAAATGCAGTTTGTACATCTTCCAAAATCAATGGAACAAGAAACTACAGTTTGTTACACTACAGTTTGCTGAAGATTTCCTGTGTGGCACACAGCAACTTGGAGAGTTGAAGGCTCCTCTGCAAAAATTTTTCAAACCTATTCTTTCGGATGCTCACACATTTTGTAATGCACACACATAATGCATAAGACTGTAGGGAACTTCACTGACACAAATATTTTAAAGCTGGGCATACACTACAATTAGAAGTGTGATGTAACCTCATCTCAAGTCAGCCTGTGGGCCTTGGACTTTTCAGCATGAGTTTTCCTTTGATCAGTGCAATTCTGAGTCACACACACACAATTCCAGCAAGACTTCATGCCAAGCAGCAAGACCTTAAACACGTCTTACTGGCACACAGTACCTTGCTTAAAGTCGCTGTCAAACATGGCCTTGCGTCCAACATAGTATTTGTATGTAACTCTCTGTGCCATGCTATACTCATCCTTCAGATTTGAGCTGTCAATTGCTCTAATTAAGGGCTTACAGAGATGGAGCTTGTTGATCTGTTGAAAAAAATTAGCATTTTAATCAGCATGCATATAGATGGATGCATATAAAAACAGGGCGAGTTTAACTTAGAATATGAAATACAAAACACAGCTTACCAGACTTGAACCCTACCTTAAAATAAATTTTAAACAGCTGATTCACAAGAAACAACATGCCCCACTTCTTTGAGTCCTCAATGCCTGCTCGACTGTCATAAGGAAAAAGAAAAAACCTGCTAGTATATTGAACATGGTAAGAAAAGAATGACTTTGTCCTCACAGTAAATTCATGCCATAGATATTCATGCCATAGCTTTTCTAGGGTAAACATAGGTGTAGCTCTGCTATATATTTTCTCAACATAATGAAAAGATGTCAGGCAGAATATTATTCATCTGCATCAGGGTCCTCACTCCAGTCTGCAGATAACACACACAAGCACAGCAGTGGCTTATAATACCTGAGATGAAAGAAAGACACAAAAAAAGCATTTTTTCCAATTCAGAAGTGTTAAAATTGCTAACACTGGAAACCAGAGCCACCACTTTTCCATATAATTAATTCTAATGGAGCAAACTTCACAACTAACAGGGCACAGAAGTATTAATCACCTTTCCTAAGAAACAGGGACATAATCAGTCCCTCCCAACAACACCTGCTAGGAATGCTAAACCTGAAGTGAGGGCTCTCCCTCTGTAGTTAATAGTCAAGAGAGAACAGACTATAAATGAGACAAGCCTCAGAAGTGCTCATTCTAAGACCCACATATGGTCTAAGTAAGTGGGAAAATCTAAAGCAAAGTTCATTAAGTTTTTAGCAATTTTCTAGTGCAAGTGCAGCAGGGGTTCCTTCACTTACGTGTCACTGGCACAGACTCGAAAGCAGCCCATCAGCAGCTCTGCTGCCTTTTCCAACATGTCACCCACTTTGCTTTTCCCTTTCTTCACAAGCTGTTGATCTGCCTAGCAAGAAACAATATGCAATTCTACATCGTGGTTCACTGGGCTGCAAAGTTTAGTTTTTTAATTTAGCATTTTATAATGTATTCTAGCAAGAGATCTGTCATGGCTGCTATCTCCCAAATCTAGAAGGCAGTCAAGCTCCCAGAACAAAAGAAAACACACAGAGAGGCTCCTAGACATGTACTCAATGTAGAGAAGGACAATCCTTGGAAAACAGCACTGATCACTATTTCCTTTAGTATCACTCAGCTTAATGCAGCTCTCAGAAACCTAAATTCAGGTTTAACACCTCAACTGGAGCATTAACACTTCAACTCAAGTGTACAAAGACCAAGAGCCTGGAAAAAATTATGGAGTTTTAGAAATTATTGAGTTTTAGAAATTATGAAGTTTTAGAATTGAGTCTTAGAATTTATAATTCAGTTTCTCTCCAAAGCCACAACAACTAGATGCTATTTCTAAACCATATTCAACAGTTTCCAGTAGTGACACACACTGCTGGGACTTGAGACATCCAGAAGTAAGATAAAACATATGTTACAGCAGAAAGAGGAAAAAAAAAAAAATTCAGTTGTCAACATATGGGAAAGATCCATGCATTGACTAATGCAGAACTTCAACAGGAAAAACATAGCAACTAGATATTTATTATGTGCTTTCTAAAAAGTTTTATTATAATGTTTGCATTCTCACCAGCTGAAACATAAATAAAAGAAATGGAAATGCATCCTGCTGCAGAAGTCTTCTCTGAAACCAGATACTCTGAATACACTAAGGTTAGAAGATAGAGTTTAAACACTTCCAGCATGACTGATTCAATGCTACCCTTTCTCATGCATCTCAGAGACATGGATTTCCCTCATTCAAACTGAGAATTGAGACTTGTTGCAGAGCAGTCACACACACAAAAAATACTCCCTGTGCAAGCATTCCACATGTGGTTTTCTGGGTAACTGGGCATGAGAGAGTGATGAGGGGAAAATACTGGATATTGTCAAACTCTAACCTTACTTGAACTCTAGCTTCAACTCTCCAGGTGAAGTGACTAGGAACAAAATCACAACACTGCCACTCACCTTGGCCTAGAAGTTCTCAATAGATCCCTACACAAGCTACTTCAATTCACCAGCCTGAGAAAAATAATGTAAATTTGGGGATTATTAGCATGTCAGCAGCTGTATGGGCTCACCAAGGGCTCCAAAGAGCATCAGAAGTGGTGCACACATCAGGAAAAGGGGACCAGAAAGTTCCCTCTGCAGATCTGGTGAATGGTTAGATCAACTTGGTTGTCTGTGATACCTCCAATTTCCACCAAATCCCAGGGACAGCATGGAAATAGTGACTTACACCACATGCCACTCAAAAAAGAAAATATTTATCCCTTCATAAGATCTAAGCAACTGCTGGGAGTTGCATTCAGGTCCTCAGAACTCCTCTAGTTCCATCTGCCAATAGGAGGTGGAAAGATTGAGCAACCTCACTTTTCAATAGGACTAGATGAATTTAGCATGTCAACAAAATCCTAAACAATGAGTTAAAGAGAACTAATCAAAATTTGACCATGTTATAAACTCGGTAAAAACATTTCTAGTGTGGAAATACCAAACAGATAAAAGTAATGAGGCTGTTAATCAGATCTACTTACATTATTAGCAAAAATTCGAAGATCAAGGGCTACAGAATACATAATAGGTAAGGCCCTGGAAAAGAAAATCATAGTACACTTAGTAGGTGCAAATCAAGCAGTAAGTAAGACATGAGAAATAAGCAATTTTTTTTTTGTTACTTACTCATGCAATTAGAAAAGTATGTTTTAATCTTTAAGTGAAGAAGAATGCACTTCTTAAAAGGACAGTTCTTCAAGATCTCAGCATTTCAGAAATCCTACACTACAAAAATGATGTCTAAAGTCTTTTTTACTATGGCTTTAATAAAATTCCACTTCTCTTTGAACAAATCCTTCATGTATTTACATATGGACCATTCTATGTAATTAAGCTCAGATGTTTACATTCCACACTTTGGACATGAAAACTCAACCAGGCAACAAAGCCAATTAGGCTTGATTTTAGCATCACTGGGGATAAATAAAACTATAGGTATAATTTTAGTTTGACTCCAATGGTATTATACTAGGAAAAGATGAGGCTATTTTCTAGTAGCTTTCTACCATGTACTCACCAATTTTCTTCTTTATGCGCCTGAAATGCTCGCAGGAAAGATGTACTGTGTTTAGGAAAATTTAAAATGTCATGAAATAAAGCACAGATTTGAGAAACAGCTGTTCAGTGGTACCATATATGACTACATGAAAGACTGGAAATCAAAACACCATCAAGAAGTTGAGGAGCTGAGTTGCAGCATGGAAGAAAGTGAGCACAGCCATGCACTCCTTTGAACGGCAGCAGCAGTAAGGAACACTGGCAGAGATAAGATAGAAGCTTCTTTATCATTATTTTCCCCTCCAGCCACGTAAAAACTGCAAGGTATCATAATGATTTGAGACTCTCCTATATTCTGGGAGAAATTAATATTCTATTTTAGAGCCAAGTAAAACATTCTTTCTTAACCCTATAGAAAGCTGGAAGAATGTATCTGGATTTCCTTGCTCAGAAACCTAAACAACTGAAGTGTATTGGGAAGCAGACCACATTTTATTAGATTTTTAAAAACCATAAAGAGAACTTAGTCTATAAGAAGTTAATCTGAAAACAATATGCAAGATTTATGGAAAAGGATATTGGACAATAACTGTTTGGCATTTGTATGCTTCTATGAAGTCATGGTTTGCAACAGCATAAGTACACCTGTCAAAGAAAAGGTGCATTAGTGCATCAGAAAATATACATAAATGAAATATTTATTTTTGTGTCCTACCAGGCATGAAGTTCTACAGGTTATTTAAGGCACAAAGGAATATGAATAGAAGCATTCCTAAAACACTGGCACAAGTATATTAATAGAGCACTAAGATTGATAATTGTAGAAAACAAACGCTAGACATGAATAGGTATTTGTTCTATATAACCTAATGCTTATTGACACTGTCACCAAGATTAAATTTTAAAAATTCAAGATTGTTGAAAGAGACTAGATGCAGAAAATGACTTAGTAAAAGCCTAAAAAAGAATTACTTAGATACTAAGCTCTCTTAAGAATACTTTTATCATTAAAATTCCCTTTTAAAAATATTCATTTCCCTCACTTATTTCACTCTAAATTCTTGTGCAGCTAGTAGGCAGAGGGGAAACAGCAAGCACTGACAATGCTGTGCCAATGGCCATACACAGATGACAGCCAGGTACATAGAGCAAACTTTATGTGGAGAGGAGAAAGAAAGTCTTTATTTCCTGCAATTCTAGCATTATTTATAAGACTAATAAATACCAAGTTTTCAGGTGTAAGCCCTTTAAAATAGGAAAGTAAACTTAAGGATATCCTTCCCCATCCCTGCTGCACGCCTCACAACTGACTTTACATTCTGGGCCCATCTTTACCTTAAGTGGGCTGCAAACATTTCATCATATGGTGATTCCAAAACTTGTTGACACTTCTCCTCTGGAGATGGAAGCTAAGTGTAGAATAAATCAATAAAACATTAGAGGAACAGCCAATGCACCAGAAACAGAACACCATATGCATATTTTGCCATGGCAGTTCTCACACATTTGCCAGGGTTGGAAGGGACCTATACTAGGCATCAACCAGAACTTTAAGTTACATTAACAATCCTACCCAGAGTAATGAATTGCTAGTGTGCATTCTGTCTCCAGGACCTGAACAGAGCCAGCCTTAAATAAAAGCATCCAAAACACACAAAACACACAAACACACTACCCACTGCTTTTTTGTCCATAGTGCCTTCCATGGTGCTATGCTAATAACTAATGCAGACCTGGTCAGAAAGGACATTCAAAACTGTATCCATCCAGAAAACAATTCAAAATTGAACAAAAGAGCCAACCAGAAAACAAAAAATATATATAGTATCCTTGTAAAAAGAAAAGGGAAGCAAACCTACATGGGGATCCTACCTCAGCCTGTGAAAGAGATTTCTGAGGTTTCTCTCCAATGGAAAGGAACCCACACATAGAGCTGGGAAAAGTCAAAGTAAAACAAAAGGTCAAAAAACACATCCTCACCTGTAGCCTTGGGTTTGCAACATGTGGATGTTTAAATGAAACTAATTCTGCACAAAATGTACCATCTCTGGTCTCAATGGCTTCTTGCACCTACCAAAGTAAACAATCACATTACAGAATAAAATCCAGCAACAGGCACACGACATATTTAACTAACATAACTACTACAGAAGCCACCACCTAGTTACAACTGTGCATACGTATTAATATCAAATCAAATGCAAGTTTTTAAAGGCTTAAAACTGAATAGATAATTTTGTATTTTCAATACACCTTTTGTTCCAAAAGGTCTCAGGGAGAAGGTAGAGAGAACACCATTGTGTTTTTTTCCTTATTTGTAGGAAGCAAGCATATGTATGTACATGGGTTTAACACTGTAAAACAGCAGTTGGGAGCCAGATTTGGTTAAGCTTTTTAAAGTTCCAGTTGGACTTACAGGCATCAAACACAGATGCAAAGATGCAATCTTTGAGAAATGCTTTAAAATGAAGACAGGAAGATTTAACATGTAAATATCATTCCAAAGGCAATGTCTGATATTAGATTGATATTCTATCTGTATCAAATCCTTTTGAAACCTGCTAAGACTGTAAATGTTATATTCTGTGGAAGAATGGTTTAATCCTGCTTCCTGCTAAAGATAATTCCTTGTAAAAACAGTCTGCTTGGGCAGGTTATTGTGACATCAAGGTGGAAATTTATTCAGTTATGGAGGTAGTTTCAGGTATTACTTCTTAAGAGTTTCCTTCCCATTGCTTATGCTTTATCATATTTTTGTCTCCCAATAAGAAAAAAAATTCTTTTTGAGGTATGGAATACTCATACCAAATGGGAAAAAAACCCATAGACTAAAATAGCAAGAAAAAAAGGAAAAATCAACTATTTAAATTCTTTCAGAAATTTGCATTTAGCTTTTATTTCCGGAAAAAGAAGACTTAATTTTATATTTGCAAGATAGTTTTTCATCTTGAACGGAGTTCAATAGAGTGTCAACCCAACAAAACGCGGACTTTTCAGAGCAGACCGCTGTCCTGGGAGATCTCAGATGCTCCATTTTTGGAGACTAAGACCCAAACAATTACTTTCTTTTCGTGCCTTAACTAATGCCAGATGAAGTAAGATGGTAACAGCGACGAAAATACGGTGGTCCAGCAAGAGCCGTGCAGAGTGGAGACACAAAGGCTTGTCACTGACAGCGCCATCCAGCTGGAACCGCTGCAGCTCCGCTCCTGCCCCTCCATCCACCCATCCATGGCAGCAGCTGTGTCCGCACTGTGCGCATCTCCGAGCCCCGCATCCTTCGAACGCTGAGCTGCACTTGCCCCTGGATACACACACAGCCCTCCGCGGCCGTTCTTACCCATAAATCACCTCAGAAACCTCCACAGTTGTCAGGCACACCCTTGGCACTCAGACGGTGTGTACCTCACGCACACTGAAGAAATATATTTCCCCACCACACCGCCCATCCTCCGTTGATTTATTCCTTAACCAAGGCACCACATTTACAGCTAACCCGCATACTCAAACAGGGCCCATAGATTAATTTTAAAAAATAATTTTAAAATCGTGCTTACTTGCTGCAAGTACTGGTTAATGGTGATGTGCGCCATTAAAGGAGAGGAGCTGAGGCGGGGGCCGCACACCGGTGTGACCGTGCGAGCCCCGGAACTCCCGCGCGCTTCCGGATCCCGGCGCGGCCGAGGGCGGCGGGAACGGCCCGCAGCGTCACGTGACGGCCCCCAGCGGCCGCTGCCCCGCCCACCGCGTGCCAGGGGCGTGGCTTCACTCAGACAGCCAATGGGAGTGAGCGGTGGGCGGGGCAGAGGGCGCGCGTCAGAAGTAAACCTCGTGCGCTGGGGCGCGCCGCGCGTTCAGGGGTGGCGGTGTGGTGTGAGTGGTGTCGCTGTCACCCGTGCTGCCACCTTACCCTGGATTTGGACAGCAGGCGGGCAGTGCCCTTCGTGTGGCAGGAGCCCAGTGGCGGGACACGCCGGTTACTTCCCCGGGAGAGCTATGGAAGCTCGCCTCCCCTCTCTCCCCGCTAGCTCCGTTGCCCACGGGGAGCGCTGGCGAGGGGTCGCGGTGAACTTGGGTGGGAAAAGTTGAATTGAGCATTAAAATCCCGAGCGGGTTGACTCCTAAAGGCGCTGCCTCCAGGGAGATGTGTGAGACAAGGACACGCTCCATGTTCGTGCCCACTGGGCTCGGTTGGGTTTGGCAGGTGCCGGTGAGCAGGGCGCGGGCGGCCTCTTGGGCTGGTGGCTTTTGTGGGCTGCTCCTTGGCCTTCGTTCCGGCCACCCTTCGGCGGGTACCAACAAACAGAGCCAGGGCAAGCGGGGCACACCGAGAGGCGGCTGCCCCGGCCCGGGAGCCATCTTGTGAGCGGGGCTGGCGCTGCCCGAGCGCCGCGGGCCGCCCGGGCTCGGGAACGGGCTCGAAGCCGGAGCCGCACCGAGCGGGCCGCCAGGGCGGGCGGAGACGGCGGGCGGCTATCGGTGCCTCCCCCCGGCGGCACTTGGCAGCCGCCCCCGGGCAGTGGGGGAGGGCGGTTGGGTGGTGGCGGCGGCGGCGGAGGAGGAGGGGAGCGGAGGCGGGGACCAGCCGGCCCCGGCCCGGCCCAGCCCAGCGCGTTGCCCTGGCCGGACACGGCGCCCCGGGCGGAGATGGCGGACGAGCCGCAGAAGAAGTCGCACTTGTCGGCGTTGGTGGGACACACGAACGGGCTGACCAAGCCCGCCTCGCTGACCGCCACTCGCTCTACGGGAGGAGGAGGAGGAGGCGGAGGCGCGACTGCCTCCTCCAAGAAACTCGTGATCAAGAACTTCAGAGGTAGGTACGGGGCAGGCCGGGCCCTCTGTCCTGGCAGGTGCGCTCGGCCCGAACTTTGTTTACTGCGGCCCCGGCCGGGCCCCGCCGCCCTATCGGCGAGGGGCGGCTGCCGCGGCGCTGATAACGCTGCCGGGCTGATAACGCCGCCGGCACCGTGCCCGTGTAAGGGCTCCCGGGGACACGCGTGGGGCTCCGTACGGCGCGGGGGCAGCGGCCGTAGGGAGCGGGCAGAAAGCCACCTTAGTGTCAGCGCTGATTAAAGCCAGGCGAGGGTGGTTGCCTCGCTAAAAGTAACACGGGCGTCAAACACGGCAGCCGGGGGTGAAGCGCGTCGTGCAAAGGCTCGGGTGGAATTAGTGACCCCTCTGAGAGTGCCAGAGTTACACGGCCAAGAGCACAGAGGCTTGGCACAACCTGATGGAGCAGCAGGAACAGAGACATTGCTGCTGTAGGCTCCCCTTGGGTGGCCGTTTTCAAACTACCTGTGTCTTACTTCACAGAAAGACCCAAATTACCAGATAATTATACTCAGGACACCTGGCAGAAACTTCATGAAGCGGTGGGAGCAATACAGAGTAGCATTTCTATTAAATACAACCTTGAAGAGCTCTACCAGGTAAGCTACGTCAGATTTTGGTTTCGTTTTTTGCAAGTAAACTGCTTTGGCATGCATTCAACATAATGTATTCTGATTTCTTAAAAGCTGATTGAATACTTTGCTGCGTACTCTGTCTCTAGTTAGTTTTTGTTTATCAGTTCCTCGGACACCTACCATGATCTGGGCCCATGAAAAAGCATTTTCTGTTGGAAGGCACAGAAAGCTATTCCTGGGCAGGGCTGAGATCTAAGTCTTAGTATCTTCAATACTCTGCCTACTCAACATGCTGAAAACAGGATGTTTACTCTAACAGGGTTATGAAGTTATATATTTTATGATGATTTTTGTACATGCTATGGTCTCTTGTAAATAGTAATATTGAAGTATTTGCTATTATTACATTATGATATTATACTTCTATACCTTTTGGGTAATTAAAAAGGAATCTTGATTGAGTAGGCCACAAATTATCAGTTTATCCACATTTCGGATTACTGTTACATTTTCATAACAATCAAGATCTCAGTTTTTCTGTTCAAGTGGTAAAAAAGCACTTCTGGAACACCTGGACTACTGGAGCAGAGGCCAGGGAGAGTAAAAGAGAGGTGGACTCCTGAGCCATTTCTCTACTTTCTCCAATTATATGTGGTTTAGTTCTATGTTATTTCAGATGTATGTGCTTTGAGGTATTTAGCTGAAGTTGCAGCTTTTTAGAGCGATCATTCTATAAAAGATTACTGATGTGCTAAATTGTGCTGCATAATGTAAGTTAGTTATGAGTTTTCTGTGGGTGCAGGTGTTTGATCTGCAGATTGATGTCCTTGCCAGACCAGGACTGCAAACATTTTTATGCACACCTCAGATTTTCTAAATGTTTAGTTGAGGTGCAAGGGGAGACTGTGAGAGAGGAGAAGGCCAGTAGTCCATACTAGGTCCCTGTTCAAGAAGATCAGGATGGATTTCAGAACTGACTATACTTAACTCTTTAGTTAGGGTATGTAATATATGGGTCTAAAATGGCTGATTATGTAAATGTATATTGATTTAAAATAATTATTTCCTTTAAATTGAAAGCTTGACTGTGATATATATCTATTAATACTTGCAGATTTGCACAGTTTGAATGACATAATGCATTTTATTGTTTTAAATTCAGCATTTGAAAAACCCTGCTTTTTCATGTCTAACAAAAACCCAAAAAACAAAAACCAGCCCACAGATGCTTTGAGTGTTACCTAACTTGTTTTCAGAGGCTCAGAAATGAGATTATAGTAATATGGCTATGAAATCACTATGAAATGCTTGAGTTTTGGCAGAAGAGGAGAGATTTCAGATAAACTGTGAAGGGAGAACTGTACTTCTTGCTTTTTCTCTTTGCCTGTTTATTTGTAAAAACTGTGCAAGGCTGATTGAATAATCCTTAAGGCAGCAAATCAGGAAGATTTCTGCACAGTGGGTGGTGGTGCTCAGTGTGCCTGTGCAGGGACAGGTATTTACTGTCCTGCCAGAGGAATAAAAGATGAGGTTCAGCATCCATTGGAAACCTGATCTGTATTTACAGATCATTTTAACTGCCTGTTGGTGAGCATTGAGTCATCCACAGGGGAAAATATCTCTGGGTCCATCAGTTCTTACTATCAGGGCTTTGTGGTGGTTTTTTTGAGTTTTTATCTGACATGATGGGAGGAAGTGAGAGGCCTGCTAGAGTTCAGTGCACTCAGTGGGCTGGTGCACCAGCCTACAGTTGAACCTTCTGATTTATTTATTTAATTTGGCGCAGTGGCTGAGAAGAAACTGAAGAACAATGATGAGGCTGAGTGGGAAGCCTGAAGGATACTCCTTTCCAGACATTAGAGGCAGCATGGGATCAGGCATGAGGGTGCTTGGCAGAAATGTAGTCAGTGAGCAATGGGAGGGTGGCAGCCAGTTTTTTGTGACTAAAATAGAAATGATGTCTGGGATTGGTGGTAGATTGCACAGATTTTGATAGCAGTAGCTTATACTTGATGGGATAGAGAAAGTGGGGCAGTACAAAGAATTGCTGAATGAGGAGTGAGTGATAAAAATAATGGAAAAAGAAAATTACATTTGCAGCAAGGTCCTAAATAACCTGAATTGGGGCAGTACTGCCCTTCTGGAGGACATAGAACAGGACAGTGTAGTAACAAAGAAAAGACAGTAGAGCAAATATGAGAGTCCTGACTAGACTTATAATTGGATGGATGGATAGGAGTGGCTATAACATTATCTGCAAAGTGATTGTCTGAATACTGCTTGTTGCAAGTTATCATTTTATGTACCTTAAGACCAAATGAAAAACATAGGCACTGTGTTATCATTTTGTTTGTTTGCATGCTTTAATGTTGTATCAAAATTGTGGAGGCCATTTTTATATGCATTTAAATAAAAACAGATTGGGTAGGTTAGAATCCTCTGGAGCAGAGGAAAACATTTTAGTTGTCCAAGTGACATAGTGCTTTAAATCCTTGGCAGTGTTCTGTGCAATATTGCCTCATAATATAACAGCAGTTGATATTAATGTAGTGACCACCAGAACATTTGGTTTTGAGCAGAATTGGCATCCTTAGTTAACTAAGGATAAATACTCAACTAAATCCTATGAGCTCCCAGTGAATAAGTTCAAGTCCTTATGTAATGGTTAATGTGGGGTTGGTTTTGGGGCTTTTGTTATTGTTTGGGGTTTTTCTTATTTTTTTCCTCTCAGTTTATGTACCTTAGCATGAGTGTGTGAATCAGTAGAAATACTTGGGAAGAAATAAGTGGATAAAAACACAGGAAAGGAGCTATACTCATTTACCATTTAGACAGACTGGTTGAAATGTCTAACTTAAAGTTATACAGAAATTAAAATATTTGCTATGGTTGTGTTCCTGCCCCAAAAAAGCACTTGTGTGCATCTGAAGGATGCAAAATGGACCTTCTGGAAGAGTTCTACTGCTGAGCAGTACTGAAGGAAGCAGAATTCTGGTAGTGTTTAACAGCACACCTGAAATATGACCCAAATTGTGATGGTGGATCTTGTTTGTGACACAAAATCTAGCAGAATAAGAGGGGACCAAAATCAGGAAGGACTCCTGAAGTCTTAATTTTTCTACATAACTTTGTTTTGATGATTTGTTTTTGTGCACAGCTTGAACACGTAATGCTGAAATTTTTTTTCCTTTGTAAGCCTTAATTACATAGACACAAAAATTTAAGTTGGTTTTTTGTCTCATTCATAATCCTTTTTTGGTTTTTAGGCTGTTGAAAATCTCTGTTCCCACAAAGTCTCTGCTACACTGTACAAACAGCTGCGACAAGTCTGTGAAGAACATGTGAAAGCACAAATCCTTCAGTTTAGAGAATATCCTTTTGTCATGCACAGAGTGGTTAGAATGGTTAGTTTAAATCATGATTTTTTAAAACAAGACTTTGCAAAAAATGCACCTGAAATTGTCAGTGTGTTAAAGAGATTCTTTGCTTACATGCTTTTAAATCAGTCATAGGCAACTTTAATCATCTGGGTGAATAATTTTTGTTTATTGATGTGTAGCATCCTAGTAAAAATTTATTTATCATTTGAATTGGGATGTAAATTTTACACTAAATCTAGAAAATGTCAATAGCACTATGAGATTTCTCAGCAGGTATGAATGTCTGTGGCAGGTGAGTAGTGATGCTTATGGCAGCAGTAGCTTAAAAAAAACACAGTCATTATCAACAACAGTAAAAAAATTTCAAACATAGTGTTCCTGTTTCACCAAAAATAACTACTAGTCAATAGTGATGTATCACAGAGGCATTCAACAAGCCTTCACATATCTTATGTGTACCTTGGGAGGTTCTTGGAAGAGAGCTCTAAGTTCAAGAGATCATTTGGCTATCTTGGGATGCATAGAAGAAGTTTTATGGTAAATTTCCCCATGGTTTACTGAAGTTACATTGCTGGACTTTTCTTCTGGCTGAATGGGTCACAGAAGTGCCTGTAGACCTGGCTGTAGCCAGCCCTGACTCCTGAAGCCAGTCAAGCTTTACGTGCTGAGAAGGTGCTTTATATCATAGGTATCTTCTGTGTAATAGCCACGGGCTTGCACTGCTGGAGCAGCAGATGAATAGTCTGTGTCCACCTTGGTGTCCCCAGATTCCTGGAAAATGCCTTAGCCAGCAGGTGATGGATGGATGGAGAGTGCCATATTGAACAGATATTACAGCACTGTGGCTGCTGGCATTGTTTTCCAGCTCTCTATGGATTTTTTAGCAGATGATGATAGGATAAAGTAGAAAAAACTAAGGGGCCAGGACCCAGAACGATCCTCCTTTCCAGGTGAATGCTTTAAATGTGCTTTGAATTGTGATTCTCCATTTCTTGGTTCACTGCATTCCC